AAAAAAAAAAAATAAAAAAAAAAATAAAGAAAAAGAGAAACAGGATCGCTCAGACACTGCTTGTGGGAGCCTAAGATGGGACAGTCATTCTGGAAAACAGCTCGTAGTTTTTTAACAAAAACAAAAACAACTAAGCATGCAGTTACCATACAACAGCAAATTGCACTCTCAGGCATTTGCCCCAGATGCTGAAGAGGTGCTCACACAAAGCTGCCTACGCATGAACACAGCAGCTTGACTCAGCCTCAAGCTGGAAACAATCATGACATCCTTTAGCAGGGAGGACAAACCGTGGTACATCCATGCCCGGAAATGCTACTCAGCACCAAAAAGGATCTCGTGTGCCCAGCGATCTGGATGGAATTGTCAGTGAATGATGCTGAATGAAAGAAGTCATGCGCTGTCCAGTTCCATTTACACGACATTCTAGGGATACCAAAATCAGGGCCAGCAGTTGGGGAGGAGGTGGTGTGGCTATAAAAAGGTAGCTGGGGCTGGACGTGGAGGCTCATGCCTGTAATCCTAGCACTTCGGGAGGTCGAGGCCGGAGGATCACTTGACGTGAGGAGTTCAAGACCAGCCTGGCCAACATGGTGAAACCCCATCTCTACTAAAAATACAAATTTTAGCTGGGCGTGGTGGTGAATGCCTACAATCCCAGCACTTTGGGTGGCTGAGGTGGGCAGAGCACCTGAGGTCATGAGTTCAAGACCAGCCTGGCCAACATGGTGAAACCGCATCTCTACTACAAATACAAAATTCGCCAGGTGTGGTGGTGGACACCTATAATCCCAGCTACGTGGGAGGCCAAGGCAGGGGAATCCGTTGAACTCAGGACGTGGAGGTTGCCGTGAGCCAAGATTGCGTCACTGCACTCCAGCCTGGGCAACAGAGTGAGACACTGTCTCAAAAAATAAAAATAAAAATAAAAAGGCAACCGGAGCTGTTCTGTGGCTCAGGTATCAGTGTTGGGATCTGGCTGTGATATGCTGAGGTCGCTTAGCAAGATGTTACCACTTGTGGTGGTGGTGGGGGAACTGGGTGAAGGATGAACCCATCTCTCTGTATTTTTGTTGTTGTTGAGACAGGGTCTCCATTTGTCACCCAGGCTGGAATGCACCATCGTGATCACAGCTTACTGCCACCTTGACCTCCTGGGCTAAAGCGATCCTCCTGCCTCAGCCTCCCAAGCAGCTGATACTACAGACAGTCACCACCATGCCCAGCTAATTTTTAAATTTTTTAATTTAAAAGGCAAGGTTTCACTATGGTGCCCAGGCTGGTCTCAAACTTCTGGCCTCATGCAATCCTCCCACCTCAGCCTCCTGAGACTGGGTTCACAGGCATGTGCTGCCATGCACAGCTAATCTTTTTTTTTAATATTATTTATAGAGACAGAGTGTCACCATGTTTCCCATGTTTCTCACCCTCCTGGGCTCAAGTGATCCTCCCCCCTCAGCCTTCCAGAGTGCTGAAATTACAGGCATAAGCCACTGCACCCAGCCAGGACATATGTTTTCACTTGTCTTGGGTCAAAACTGAGGCATGGAACATAGTAAGTGTGTGTTTAACTTATAAGAAATTGCCGAACCCTTCTTCAAAGTGTCTGCACCACTTTGCCTTCCTGCCAGCAGTGTGGGGGTGTGGCAGGTGCCCCACATCCTCACCAGCACTTGGCGTAATCAGGCTTTCTAATTTTGGCAGTTCTGATGAGCATAGTCATATTTTGCTGTAGTTGTAAAGTGCATTTCCTGATGATGGACGACGTGGAGCATCTCTTCATGTCTGTATTGATTGCAAATCTTCTTTTGTGAAATGTCTGCTCAAATCTTTTGCCCATTTACAAAAATTGGGCTGTCTTCTTACTAGGCTGGAGGAGGTCTTTATGTATTCTAGACACAGCTCCTTCGTCAGATGCACGCATCGCAAATACTTTCTCCCAGCCTGCAGCTGGCCTTTTAATTTCTCAAATGATGTCTTCTAAATAGCAAAAGTC